GTCAGCAAAGTCTACCCTTTTTTCCGTAGTCTTTCATTGTCGGCTATCACCGTAATCCCGTCTTCAGTCATCATTCTTCACAAACAAGGAATCCAGGTTATCATCGTCATAAATCTGCATGCAGGTGCCTTGAAATCCACCGCCAGTTCCCCGACCTCTACATTCCTAGGCACTAAAAAACCGACTGGCACAAGTCAAGCTTTAATCAGATAGAATCTCCACGCAACAGGGGATGGCATAGTGTCACCTGCAGCTTAGATCCTCCGTAAATCATGACTGGTTGCTACCTCCATAAAGTGAGTGGACTCAGCTATTCACGTGACTGAGTCGAGCAAAATATGGCACACCCCACAACACTATGTTGAGCTTTCCAAATTCCACTGAAGAGATGAGAATCTACCTGCAAACTTCTAGAATGTTTTTTCCGTATGTGTATATAATTCACCAAAAACTGAACAGTTTAAGTATTCAGTCAAATCTTAAGAATAATTGATTCCACGTAAAACGCAAGCACACTACCCATACCAACTACTAGATCGCTGGGTAGCTGGGCAAACCGTTTTTCATTTTGTCTTCACACAATAAAGCACAACTCATTGTTTTGAGTTTACTTCAGGTTTCATACCTCAATCGATTCAGCCCTAAACTCCAGGATTATGTCTCGGTTGCAAATGTTTCAACCTAACTACTTGCCACAAGAGAGTAGTGGAGGATGTGGTTTATTCACTTGATGAATTTTGTGTATGTAGCAAATGAAGCGTGAACTGAAAAGCTAGGAAGCACTGGACAACTGTTTCCACCTATTTGGATCTCATCCACAGTGCGAATGCATCGACACGATGGAGGGTCAAACTCGGAACCTCACAGGCGGGACGCAAGCTTACTAACCAGTTGACCACCGGACCGTTTTTCAGTTTGCCTATATACGATACAGCACAACTCATATTTGCAGGCTTGCTGCTGGCATCACATCTGGTTCATTTCATCACTAGCTTCCTGGGTTATGACTCAGTTAGAAACGCTTTGAATCCGTGGCCATTCCGTATAGGCTCCAACCTCCAGTTATATGAATACCTAGTGCAACTCGTGTTGCCTTAATGTTGAGATGTGTATTGTTTTTTTGCCTACTGTTCAAAATCTGGACACAGGAATAATAGCTTACGTTACTAAAAGATCCGCAAGAAGTGTAAACATTATTCTATTTTTCTGAAACAAAACAATGTTTGCGAGCTTTGATATGCATACGCTGATAGTATATGTAATATGGTTTGTGGGTCATCACTCTTGCTCCGTTTTCGCATTCATTCCCCTTGGGTGATTATTGAATAGGTAAATTGACCTTTATCCACCAAAGTTGACTACTCAAAACTGAGTTTCTAATTTATTGGGTAAAAATGTAAAAATCTCCTCACCAAAATCATGATGAAAGACAAAATAGAGGAAATTCGTCATTGGAGATAAACAAAAATTTTAAACTGAGTTTATCAGGCGTGTATAAATACATTTAACCTAAACATAAAAGGTGAAGTGAAGCGATTGAGTTCAAGCCCCAAATTAGACTGAGGAATTCACAACCTGATTGTGGTCGAGTGAACGCCTTGATAAGGTACATAACGTTACACAGCAGAAAAACGGAAACTAATTGATGAAAAAGAAGAAGAGAATTATCCTGGTCACAACCGGTTTCGCCGTAAATAGCCGATATTTTTACTGTTCCGTGTTTGAACGACCGGAGAGGCATAAAGCCCAGTCTCAGTTGGAAGTTAAATACTACTCTAGAGAACATTATGCTATATTTTCATGACAATGGCAGACTAATACATCCTTCAATTAATTTCAAACAGAATATTTGCAAATGAAGATGGTTTGTGGATTTTTGGTTTGCAACTACCAACTAACTAAAAACTATGCGGCGCATACGGAATTAGCAATTTATCTGCTCTCACAACAAAAATATCTATGTTGACAACAGAATAGCCACCCGGTCCATGCTGACGATGAGCGGTATTCGCACATATGGATCCTAATCAAGATACCTGGTTTTCAACTGGGTACTATGCCTATGTTCCACCTATAAGGTCCCGGATTCTATCCCTAGTTAAATGGATGGATTTGCACCGCCACAAGCATACATATATCACAATGTACACATTTTTTTGACCAAGTTAATATGGTGCGGTCACATTTGGCCGTGTGAGTGGTTCGAGTATGATAAATTTTCCAGTTGTTTCAGTGTTAAGTCCATTCTTATACCATATGCTTCTTCAAATGTAGATAAATCCCGTTTGAAAGGTTTTTCGAGGAAGGAATGTACGACACATGTTGATTGTCTTAGCAACAGCTAGATTCACATGTACAAACGTGCAGAATCGCATGTGGTGTCAGGTTTCCACAAAGACGGTAGTGCGAAACAACTGTTTTAAACAGTTAAGAGAAATACTAGTACCTGTTTACTATATATGTTTCAGAGTACCATCCTGACGAAATGCGTAATCCTTATTGCAATCCAGTAATTCACTGAAGCCGTTTTGATGCATCCGTTATCTGCAAACCGAATCCATTTGAATTTACTTATCTTCGGCTATAGGCACTGTACTAGTTAGCACAGAGGTTATTATGAAACGGATCACTTGAACTCACAGTGCATAACACAAGTAAATAAAAAACGTACAATACTAGAAAACTGACACGTTGGTACTTTGATTCAGCAAGCCGAATAAAGCGTATTTTTCGTGAACAAATCCATACAAACTGATCTGGGCGTGATAGGAACAATCCGTGTTCTGAATCCTTGCGACAACATCCTTTGGTCTATTTGGTTGGTAAGGGATTTTACCCCGGCGACTTTACCTAAAGGCTAGAACTCCGTCTATTCAATGCTATAGTTTGTCGACAAAGCTTTATTTTTATATACGGGCTTGTTTCGTCCTTAAGAGTAAACGGATCGTCATCCAGTTCTCTATTTCCGAAGTTATTTGAACGGGTCCTGATAAAAGTCAATGAAATATGCTAGAGTATTCAACATAAACAGCATTAGCTCAAGTCTGAAGTCATCAATTTTTCCGGTATTCCACTATGCATTAAACCGGTCCATTTTTGAGATTGGTTTTGAATGTATCCTTTCATTTTATCAAACCCTTATTTTTGATTAGTTTATTCAATTCACAGTGTAATTTAGGGGATTCAGATAAATACTTCTTACTTCCGCACATCGGTGTAGCACAGTAAAAGTGACATCAATATGCATGTGTACCACATTCCGAAACTCACAACTTTGATTTAGCTCACTAATTATAGACTTCCCAAACTAGTCTTCCAAGCAATAAATCTAAAATTACTGACTATTTGCGGCTTTGACAATGGTAGAAAAGAAATAAGTGACGTGGAACAAAATGTTTCTTAGAACGGAATCGATTCTCTGCGACAATTCACAAACATACACTTTTAGATCCCGAATCAAAATTCCCATATCGGCGACAAACTCAAACTCAAAGCAATCCCGCCGGAACCAACTTATCAAAATGTTTTGATATAAAGGTGCAAGCCGACGAAAGGCGGTACAAAAAATTGAATCAGATAGAATCAGTTCATTTAGAAAAATCGAACAAACATTTATACGTAGATTATGTTGTACATCATTTCTGCTGAATTGTGATTCCAAGCTCACCGTACTCGACTCATCAACCAGTTGTAACAGAACTTATCCCAATATGTTGTCTTCTGTTTTGCCACGTGCGTTCACACACAGAGCAACCTGGCAGTATTCCGACCACATGCAAATCACGGGACGTTTAACTTTTTCCTAAATATTATTGTACACCATTTGTTTGGCACAAAGTCTGGATTCAGACACGTGAGAATAGATATATATATTGTGAGCGAATCTAAGACAAAAGTGACTAATTTTGACGAAATGAGCATTTAAAAATAAACGATTTACTCGTTGTGTATTCCGTATTCTTCTTGAAGTACTCGTTT